TATTAAATACTTAATAAGAATATCAAAGCCAAGTTATTTGTTTTAAAGTAAGTACCTAGGTACTTACTTTTTCAGAAATAATTTAGCAATACATCTTCATTTACAACGGAATACGCCATTTTTATTCTTCCATTCTATTAAAAACATGATATTATTTCTGGTCTTTGGTAAATGACTTCACAGGAAGTAAATCCAACACGATTTCTTTTGGCCTTATTAGCAATATGTTCCGGGATTTTGGAACATTTTAAAATTGTTGATGAATTTGTGATTTTGTGACAAATTTCTCAAAATGCGATGAAATAAACAAACTCGTTACTAAGATATGAATTTATAAGCCAACTTTTTTCAAACATTATAATTTCAAATATGGAAAATTTGCAAATATGCGTTCTAAAAAACTGTAAAAAGCGTATGACAAAAAATAGTGTATGTAACACGTACCTAAATTATGTTTTTTAGGACTCATCTACTATTTCGGACTCGGCTAACGCCTCGTCCGCAAACAGTAGTGATTCGTCCTAAAAAACATCATTTTAGGTACTAGTTACATAAATAGCTATTAGATTTGTCTATCCTAGGTTATTTAATGTTAAGATTATACTATAGTTAAGTACTGAAACATTCGATAAATTAAACTGATTTTTATATACAGAGATACATAGAATCGGCTAGGCATTATCGTTATATTTTGAAAAACTTTAATCCATAAACTGTGATACTACACCATTTTCCACCGAGTTCTAGCGGTAGTACCGTTTCTAGACACTGATTTATTTTCATATGTAACGACCATACCACGTCGGTCCACCAGTTCCCGTTCGATCACTGAAGTTAAGCGACGTCGGGCGCGGTTAGTACTTGGATGGGTGACCGCTTGGGAACCCCGCGTGTCGTTACTTTTTTTTAATTCTAAGAAAAAATATATGCGAATACTTTATTTCGCCTTTAGTCAATACATTTTTAATTTTTATTTTATTTCCTTCAATATTACAGGTATTTTGCAACTTTTGTATTAAATTCCTTTTAGATTTGTCTATCCTAGATTATTTAATATTAAGATTATACTATAGTAAAGTACTGAATAATTCGATACTTTAAACTGATTTTCATATACAGAGTTAAATAAAATCGGCTAGGACATTATTGTTATATTTTGAAAAATTTTGATCCATAAATTGTGATACTACACTATTTTACACCGAGTTCTAGCGGTAGTACCGCTTCTAGACACTGATTTATTTTTAATATGTAACGACCATACCACGTCGGTCCACCAGTTCCCGTTCGATCACTGAAGTTAAGCGGACGTCGGGCGCGGTTAGTACTTGATGGGTGACCGCTTGGGAACCCCGCGTGTCGTTACTTTTTTTAATTCTAAGAAAAATATATGCGAATATTTTATTTCGCCTTTAGTCAATACATTTTATAATTTTTATTTTATTTCCTTCAATATTATAGGTATTTTTCCAACTTTGTATTAAATTCCTTTTAGATTTGTCTATCCTAGATTATTTAATATTAAGATTATACTATAGTAAAGTACTGAATCATTCGATACATTAAACTGATTTTCATATACAGAGTTAAATAAAATCGGCTAGGACATTATTGTTATATTTTGAAAAATTTTGGTCCATAAATTGTGATACTACACTATTTTACACCGAGTTCTAGCGGTAGTACCGCTTCTAGACACTGATTTAATTTTAATATGTAACGACCATACCACGTCGGTCCACCAGTTCCCGTTCGATCACTGAAGTTAAGCGACGTCGGGCGCGGTTAGTACTTGGATGGGTGACCGCTTGGGAACCCCGCGTGTCGTTACTTTTTTTTAATTCTAAAGAAAATATATGCGAATATTTTATTTCGCCTTTAGTCAATACATTTTATAATTTTTATTTTATTTCCTTCAATATTATAGGTATTTTTTCCAACTTTTGTATTAAATTCCTTTTAGATTTGTCTATCCTAGATTATTTAATATTAAGATTATACTATAGTAAAGTACTGAATCATTCGATACATTAAACTGATTTTCATATACAGAGTTAAATAAAATCGGCTAGGACATTATTGTTATATTTTGAAAAATTTTGATCCATAAATTGTGATACTACACTATTTTACACTGAGTTCTAGCGGTAGTACCGCTTCTAGACACTGATTTATTTTTAATATGTAACGACCATACCACGTCGGTCCACCAGTTCCCGTTCGATCACTGAAGTTAAGCGACGTCGGGCGCGGTTAGTACTTGGATGGGTGACCGCTTGGGGAACCCGCGTGTCGTTACTTTTTTAATTCTAAGAAAAATATATGCGAATATTTTATTTCGCCTTTAGTCAATACATTTTATAATTTTATTTTATTTCCTTCAATATTATAGGTATTTTTCCAACTTTTGTATTAAATTCCTTTTTAGATTTGTCTATCCTAGATTATTTAATATTAAGATTATACTATAGTAAAGTACTGAATCATTCGATACATTAAACTGATTTTCATATACAGAGTTAAATAAAATCGGCTAGGACATTATTGTTATATTTTGAAAAATTTTGATCCATAAATTGTGATACTACACTATTTTACACCGAGTTCTAGCGGTAGTACCGCTTCTAGACACTGATTTATTTTTAATATGTAACGACCATACCACGTCGGTCCACCAGTTCCCGTTCGATCACTGAAGTTAAGCGACGTCGGGCGCGGTTAGTACTTGGATGGGTGACCGCTTGGGAACCCCGCGTGTCGTTACTTTTTTTTAATTCTAAGAAAAAATATATGCGAATATTTTATTTCGCCTTTAGTCAATACATTTTATAATTTTTATTTTATTTCCTTCAATATTATAGGTATTTTTCCAACTTTTGTATTAAATTCCTTTTAGATTTGTCTATCCTAGATTATTTAATATTAAGATTATACTATAGTAAAGTACTGAATCATTCGATACATTAAACTGATTTTCATATACAGAGTTAAATAAAATCGGCTAGGACATTATTGTTATATTTTGAAAAATTTTGATCCATAAATTGTGATACTACACTATTTTACACCGAGTTCTAGCGGTAGTACCGCTTCTAGACACTGATTTATTTTTAATTTGTAACGACCATACCACGTCGGTCCACCAGTTCCCGTTCGATCACTGAAGTTAAGCGACGTCGGCGCGGTTAGTACTTGGATGGGTGACCGCTTGGGAACCCCGCGTGTCGTCACTTTTTTTTAATTCTAAGAAAAAATATATGCGAATATTTTATTTCGCCTTTAGTCAATACATTTTATAATTTTTATTTTATTTCCTTCAATATTATAGGTATTTTTCCAACTTTTGTATTAAATTCCTTTTAGATTTGTCTATCCTAGGTTATTTAATGTTAAGATTATACTATAGTAAAGTACTGAATCATTCGATACATTAAACTGATTTTCATATACAGAGTTAAATAAAATCGGCTAGGACATTATTGTTATATTTTGAAAAATTTTGATCCATAAATTGTGATACTACACTATTTTACACCGAGTTCTAGCGGTAGTACCGCTTCTAGACACTGATTTATTTTTAATTGTACGATCAAACGAACTTACCTGAAGTGAAGTTCGATCGTAATTATATGAAGCGTCCAGTCCGAATGTATTATCTTGATTTTACAATACGTAGTCCGTCTCTGCGTGCATGCACTATTTCAAGGCTAAAGTCAAAACTCCCTGCTTGTCGCTGGCCCACGCCGCGTCCCGCGTCGCTCTCGTCGGCTCTGCGCACGTAATTCATTCTTTAAAGTTTTATTCATTAATTCAAGCGACCATGGGGTAAGACGGGAAGGGAGGAAGATATACTCGGACTGGACGCTTCATAATTACGATCGAACTTCACTTCAGGTAAGTTCGTTTGATCGTACAATTATATTCGCGTCCAGTCCGAATGTATTATCTTGATTTTACAATACGTAGATGTTTAAAGATCTGTTGGTTGCGAATTAATGAATTGGTGCGGAAAGTTTTTTTTTTGAGTGGTATATGAAAGGCAGCTAAATATCTTAAATATCAAAAACGTTTATTGAATGCAACCAAAATGAACAAATTGGCATATAACGATAGTTATATCAACAAATAATGAACAAGTAAAGAATATATAAAGAACATATTTAACGTAAATTAAACTAGGCCTTACGGCAAAACATTGTTAAACATTGAACATATAAATGTAAATTAAGCTTTGTCAGAATTACTTAAAATAGCTTTGGCGTATGCAGTTCTGTCAGAGAGAGGTCTATTGTAAAACTTGGCAAATACAGATGACCCTTCGGACCATCCTACTGTCCTGCGTATTGTTTCAATTGAAATTCCCTGTCTCAATGCGGCAGAACTAGAAGAATGTCTTGTCGAGTGAGGTTTAAATTGAGAAATATCTATCCCTGCTAGTTCTAACATTTTCTTAACCCATTTGCTTAGCGTTTGTTTCGAAGCAACTGAATGAGGTCTTTTAATTGTTAAGAATACAAAATCATGCTCCTTTTTTCTAAACACTTTTGTTGCATCGATGTATTTTTTCAACGTCAAGGCAGGACAAAGTTTAGGCCTCTCTTTGAAAAAGGGAAGATATAGTGTTGGCTGAACCCGATTTAAACCTGAAGTTTTTATTGGATCGGTTATATTAATTTGAATTTCCTGTTCATTTTCCAGTATATTGGTTAGCCTGATCAAAGACAGCGTCTGAAGCCTCTCTCCTGTAACTAAAGTCAAGAGTGTTATTAATTTATGGGATAATAAGTTAAGGTCCAAATCTTCAGGCAATTGTTCTATGTAAGAAAGTAGAACTTCAGGATCCCACGTACTGCCGTATTTTGGTTGGGCCGGTCTCAGACGCGCCATTCCTTTCATGAATCTTTTTATAAGAGGGTCTGACCCGATATCGTTAATTAAAATAAGGTTTAAAGCTGATCTGTTGGAGTTTATGGCACCGTACTTATAATTATATTTCAGATGTATATTGTAAGAAGGTCAGGATGTCTCTATTTGCCGGTCCAAATACAGAGATATTCTTCTCCAGGCAAAAGTTCCACCAGAGGCGATATGTTGTGGTGTATTGCTTCATAGTGGATTCGGAAATTGAAGATATTAGCGTATCTACAGCTATTTCTGGGACGTCTCTCTTTAAAAGCGATTCCCTGATAATCTGGCGACCACCAGGGAAAGCTGACGAGCCAGAGGGTGGATAGTTCTAAAAGGAGAAGAAAGTAAATTAGAATGTGGATTTAAAACTAATTCACTTCCTACTTTCAACCTAGAAAACAGTGGATACCATGGTTGAGACTTCCATAACGGAACAACCACGATACCTTCAGCCTTATCTTGGATTATCTTTTGAAGGGTTCTTAAAATTAAATTGAACGGTGGAAAAGCATAAAAAGAAAGTCCCTTCCAATTCACTGTGAACGCGTCAACAGCATATGACCCCGGATCTTTATGCCAAGAAACGTATTTATCGCATTTCTTGTTTATGTGCGAAGCAAACAGATCAACCTTAGGTTTCCCATATTTGTTAACTATCAACTTGAATGCATCTTGTGATAAGGATCATTCCGTTTCGGGGGAAATTTGTCTTGACTCCTTATCTGCAATGAAGTTGTTAGCTGAACTTATATATGTAGCAAGAATCCATAGGTTTTTATTCTCACACCACTTCCATATGTTCCTCGTTAATTTAGCAAGTTCTAGATGTTGGATACTACCCATTCGATTTATGTACGACATGGCAGTGGTATTATCGCATCGTAACAGAATATTAACATTAGTTAAGTTATTCGTAAAACATCTGAGACCGTAAAAAATGGCTCTTAATTCTAAAATATTTATATGCAATTTTTTATCAAGTTCTGACCAGAATCCGTGGGTCTTTTCTAAGTCGCAACATGCTCCCCAGCCTGTCAGAGAAGCATCAGTGAAAATTTCTTTGGCAAATACATCCGTTCTTATGTCGTTAACTGACTTCAAAATATTATGTTCCCACCAAAACAGATCTTCGTGTAAGTAACGGGGAACAACCATTATTTCATCAAAATTTCCACTATTCTGTATCAAGGCCATAAATTTTTCACGTTCTAGAGCTTTAATATATAACCAACCATATTTTACAGCCGGACAGGCTGATACTAAAGTACCAATGAAACTTACAAATTCCCTAATTTTACAGAAATGTTTTTGTCTAAAATGATTAGCTTGTTTTAATATATTCACCTTTTTTTCCGTAGGCAGCATCATCTGCATAACAGTTGAATCAAATGTAAATCCCAAAAAGGTTTGGCGGTTACTGGGGATGAAACAGCTTTTTTCTCTATTTATTATAAACCCAAGCGATTCTAACAGATTAACCACAAATCTTGTATTTCTTAGACACTGTTCGTATGATTCTCCAAGAATAAGAAAATCGTCTAAATAATTGACACAAAGTATGTTGTTTTGTCGTAAGACGCAAAGTACTGGCTTAAGCAGCTTCGTGAAACAATACGGTGCTGCTGATAGTCCAAAAGGGACACATGTAAACTCATACAATTGATTTTTCCATGCAAAACGTAAGTATTTACGATGTTCTGAATGCATAGGAATCGAATAATAAGCATCTTTTAGATCAACAGTTGTCATGAATAAATTCTTCCTTAACAACCGTTGAGCTGTCCTATAATCTTCCATTTTAAAATGAGGCGCCGTTACATATCGATTAAGCATTTTAAGATTGAGAATAAACCTATACTTTCCATTAGATTTTTTAGTTAAAAATATGGGAGAAACAAAATGATTTGGCAAAGGATCACATTTTGTTATAGCCCCTAACGTTTCAAGTTCTTGGATCGCCAAGGTCATTGGTCCGTCTTCGTCATTATGAAGCTGTAGATTTGTTGACGCATTAGAATGAGGAGGTTTTTTACAAAACGGAATTTTGTACCCTTCGATCCAAGACAAGACTAATACGTTACATGTCACTGATTTCCAAGCATTCCTAAAATATTTTAGCCGACCGGCTAAGACATTGCTTACCTCTACTGGTTTCTGAAGTTGGACGTCCGTTTCTGTGGATCTGAGGGTCGCCCTTTCGGTGGTCTTCCGTCCCTCCTCCGGTAGGCCGGGCGTCGCCTGTTTAACTGACCTCTAATGGTGGTGTGTGATCTCTCCCCCCCTTCTTTCCTTTTTTGAAGAGGAGAAATGTTTGAGAGAGGACGGTATTTATGGTACTGAGAAACCCTAATATCTTTCACAACTTTTTCCATACTTTTTGCTGTCTGGATCTTCTCTCCTAGATTAGGCCCAAAGAGGAATTCGCCAGGGGGACACTTTTCTACTATATCTTTTATCTGTTTATTCATTAAAGGCGAAATTAGTTGACGTCGTTTTTGTGACATCTCATTGACCACCTTACAAATCATTCGTCCAGAATCAGCAACACTAGTCAAAAGCCTGTCCCTGATAGCTTTTGGAATATCTCTCTCTCCCTCTAAAATAGTGTTTAAAGAGGGGCCTAAGGCTACCAAAACCTTACCTAACTGTATTTGGTAGTTTAAATGAGCTTGGTCTCTAGCTGTTTGTAAGTTACTCATACTGGCTTCCAGTTCAGGATTCAAGCGGGGGGGTGTAAGGAACCTACAACCCTCTGGTATTTCGTATTTATCCAAAAGTTTATCACTTTCCTCCTTGGGAAGCCCAAAATTTAAAATATGCTCCCAAATTGGTTTCACGGCTTTGTGTAGAGAAAAGTTGGACTTTGGCTTCATGGTTGGGTCCGGACCTAAAATGTTTCTTACCTCATTTGAAATTTCCTCACTCTCTACCAGTTCTGACGGGACAATCTCATCCTGTTCGGAATTTTCAGATATAATTGGCTGTAGCACATTGGAATATGACGCCGCACCACTAAGGTTACGGCCGTCAGGACTAGGATTATTAGTTTCGCTTGCTAAAAAGTCCGTGTTCGATCTACTGTATAACGAGATAGCGACACTCGGACTGCGGCTGTCCCGTTCCCTTGAACATACAGCCTTATAACGGGTACTTCTTGACGGTGTCTTGCTGCGACATCGAGTGACTGGAGGGCTAGTGTGTCGAGGTGAGCGGTTTGAAGTCGTTCTGAGAGACCGACTCCTAGGAGATCGACTTCTGCGATACCGAGATCGAGAACGTCTTTCATAAAAAGAATCCCTCCCACGGGGAGCAGGGCATTCTTTAGATTTGCGTGACCCTGCCTCACTGGGAGAACAACTGTCACGATAATTATGATGACATATTTCATCTCTTTGTCTATTCCGTTTATGTAACTTCGCCCTAAGATCTCTATTTTCCTTATTTCGAGATTTACTTCTATTTCTTTTGCCCATTATTTCCCTCTACAAAGAAAAAATGTAGCTAAAAATACTTACGTGTATTTTCTATGTACTACCCATCGGCAGAACACAGTAGATTCTCTAAATATATCCAAAAAGAAAGAGCCCGATCGGCAAAAACACGTAAAACTCCGAAAGCTGCCGTCCGCACCTTGCCATGCACGAGAAACGAATGAATTACGTGCGCAGAGCCGACGAGAGCGACGCGGGACGCGGCGTGGGCCAGCGACAGGGAGGGAGTTTTGACTTTAGCCTTGAAATAGTGCATGCACGCAGAGACGGACTACGTATTGTAAAATCAAGATAATACATTCGGACTGGACGCGAATATAATATGTAACGACCATACCACGTCGGTCCACCAGTTCCCGTTCGATCACTGAAGTTAAGCGACGTCGGGCGCGGTTAGTACTTGGATGGGTGACCGCTTGGGAACCCCGCGTGTCGTTACTTTTTTTTAATTCTAAGAAAAAATATATGCGAATATTTTATTTCGCCTTTAGTCAATACATTTTATAATTTTATTTTATTTCCTTCAATATTATAGGTATTTTTCCAACTTTTGTATTAAATTCCTTTTAGATTTGTCTATCCTAGATTATTTAATATTAAGATTATACTATAGTAAAGTACTGAATCATTCGATACATTAAACTGATTTTCATATACAGAGTTAAATAAAATCGGCTAGGACATTATTGTTATATTTTGAAAAATTTTGATCCATAAATTGTGATACTACACTATTTTACACCGAGTTCTAGCGGTAGTACCGCTTCTAGACACTGATTTATTTTTAATATGTAACGACCATACCACGTCGGTCCACCAGTTCCCGTTCGATCACTGAAGTTAAGCGACGTCGGGCGCGGTTAGTACTTGATGGGTGACCGCTTGGGAACCCCGCGTGTCGTTACTTTTTTAATTCTAAGAAAAAATATATGCGAATATTTTATTTCGCCTTTAGTCAATACATTTTATAATTTTTATTTTATTTCCTTCAATATTATAGGTATTTTTCCAACTTTTGTATTAAATTCCTTTTAGATTTGTCTATCCTAGGTTATTTAATGTTAAGATTATACTATAGTTAAGTACTGAAACATTCGATAAATTAGACTGATTTTTATATACAGAATTAAATAGAATCGGCTAGGCATTATTGTTATATTTTGAAAAACTTTAATCCATAAACTGTGATACTACACCATTTTCCACCGAGTTCTAGCGGTAGTACCGTTTCTAGACACTGATTTATTTTCATATGTAACTACCATACCACGTCGGTCCACCAGTTCCCGTTCGATCACTGAAGTTAAGCGACGTCGGGCGCGGTTAGTACTTGGATGGGTGACCGCTTGGGAACCCCGCGTGTCGTTACTTTTTTTTAATTCTAAGAAAAAATATATGCGAATATTTTATTTCGCCTTTAGTCAATACATTTTATAATTTTTATTTTATTTCCTTCAATATTATAGGTATTTTTCCAACTTTTGTATTAAATTCCTTTTAGATTTGTCTATCCTAGGTTATTTAATGTTAAGCTTATACTATAGTAAAGTACTGAAACATTCGATACATTAAACTGATTTTTATATACAGAGTTAAATTTATCGGCTAGGGCCATGGGCGCCGGAATAATGAAATTTAGGGGGGGGGGCAAGGTAAAAATGAATAAAAAGTTGACATTTTTGGTAATTATTGGGAAAACTGGAAATCATCCGATTTTCACCAAAATTGGTATACACCCTATTTTGAAGTCGTAGATTACGAATTTGAACGTTACGAATCTTTTTTCTTGGCGGTCTCTTACCGTTTTTGAGAAAAACGGAAAATAATTTCAATATCGAATTTTTCTTAATTTCTCATATGTTTAAGGTTTTCTAGCACATATTTTGTTAGGTATTCAATAATCAATAATGTTTTTGCTCTTTTCTGTTACTTTTTTAACCAATTCTATGCATAATAGAGGAAAATTTGTTAAAATAAATTTGTAAACAATCTGAAAATGTTAGATTATGGCTTTGTTCGGGTTCTTGTTATTACCGATTCTGAACCGTCCAAGAACTCTGCAGCGCATGCGCAAATGAAGTAATGTCTTCATATTTCCTTCTGCGCATACACATCACAGTTCTAGGACGGTTCAGAATCGGTAATAAGAGAAACCCGAAGTAAGTTTATGTCTTTCTGGCATTTAAAGCAACGTTGCCAATGTTAAACCTAAATTTAGCGTGTTTTTTTCGCTCATTCTGGAATTACGAAAGGCGGTCGCCAGAAGAACGGCTCCTTCCCATAACTGCTATTTTACCAACGAGATCTGACTATTTATACCCACGAAGTTGCACGAAAAAGTTTTGATTGCATTGGTTACAACTTCCATGCAGAGGGTGTTAATCTTTTGTTGTTATATTATTAGATTAACTAAGAAAAGATTAACCTCCTCCGCAAAGAAGTTAAAACCAATGCAATCAAAACTTTTCCGCGTAATTTTGTGGATATTGGTGTATATTTAATTATTGTTGATCTCATAATAGGTAATTTATTTAAATTCCGTAATCACCCGAAAAAATAGAAGATATGGCAACGTTGTAAATTTTCAAATTTCTAGATTAGGTCTAGAATAAATTTGTCTCTCTTATTACATAGGAGAGAGAAAGAAGGATATATCAAATGTCAAACTTCCATCTGGTCTCAATTTTCTTTGCTATTTTGTAAGAAAAGTGTTTTTCAGTAAAATGTTGGACACTTTTCTATCCCCAATCAAGTGTGGCTTTTAGATAAACTATAATATAATGAAAATATAGTGAAATTATTACTTTATAGGGCCGAAATAAAGAAAAATTCAATGTTGAAATAATTTTCCGTTTTTCTGAAAAACGGTAAGACAAACCAAACCAAACCAAACCAAGAAAAAAATAGATTCGTCATCTATGACCTCAAAATAGTGTGTATACCAATTTTGGTGAAAATCGGACGATTTCCAGTTTTCCCAATAATTACCACATTTTTTATTATTTTACAGGTAACACCTAACAATTTCATAATAATGATTATTTTTTTTACAGATGGATGTAAGAAGATAGTTTTTATTTTTATTGTTTCAGTGATCCAGGGGGGGGGGGCAAATGCCCCCTCTTGCCCCCCCCTGTCCGGCGCCCATGGCTAGGGCATTATTGTTATATTTTGAAGAATTTTTGTATTAAATTCCTTTTAGATTTGTCTATCCTAGGTTATTTAATATTAAGATTATACTATAGTTAAGTACTGAAACATTCGATAAATTAAACTGATTTTTATATACTATATATACTATATATATTTTTTTAATTATATTTCCTTCATTATTATTTTTTTCCAACTTACATAAGTCAATACATTTTTTAATTTTTATTTTATTTCCTTCATTATTATGTTTTCCAAGTTTTGTATTAAATTCCTTTTAGATTTGTGTATCATACGTTATTTAATATTAAGATTATACTATAGTTAAGTACTGAAACGTTCGATAAATTAAACTGATTTTTATATACAGAGATAAATAAAATCGGCTAAGCATTATTGTTATATTGAAATTACTGGAAAATTCTGATCTATCAATTGTGGCACTACACTATTTTACACCGAGTTCTAGCGGCCGTACCGCTTCTAGTCACTGATTTGTTTTGATATATAACGAGCATACCACGTCGGCCCACCAGTTCCAAATAATAAAATTACAGAAAATCTACTAGACATTACGAACGCATTTATTAAAGTCAAGCACGACGGCATTGCCTCTATAGTCCCAATGCATGTGTGAGCAAAAGCGGAACATGCAGTCCGCAACATAAAAGAAATCTAGTAGTGGGAACTATCGAATGAATACTATCAAAACATTCGATAGTTGCAATTCATTCGAATAATTCGATAGTTAGTAAGAAAACATTCGTTGAAAACTATTCGAATAAAAATTATCGAATAGATCCGTCATCTGCCTTGAAATATTGTATTCTAGTAATTCGGCAGCAAAAACCATTCATTTATAAAATTCATTCATTTATAAAATTCATTCATTTATGAAATTCATTTATTCGTCAGGATCGATTATAATAAAATATTAACTGAATTTTAGTTGTCGCCCGGCGACGTAGGTTTTTCCGAGAAAGCGGTCGGTGGCAATGCTATGAAAGAAGCCGGCATCTTTGATTTTTGCGGAGTCATATATAGATAAGGACACATTATTTTTTTTATTGAGGTGCTAGTATTTACACAGAAAATACATTATGAAGGGCGCTGTTGCCATATTTTTGTATTAGTTGATATTAGCAAAGAATATTATTGTTTGGCTTTAGTTAGTTAGGGATAGTATGTCTATATATTCTGCATTTTTTTATTAATATTCTGTTGTTACACTGCAATAATACTTGTTATTTTGGATGTAGGAAAATTATTTTTAATGTTTTGTTATTATTTTAACGTTGGTTTATTAAATAATAATAATTACAGAACTAATTTGTTATATTAACAACAAATTTTAAAATCATGAAATATAAACATTTATTAATTTTCTAAGCAAGCGGTATAATGGAAGGAAAATATAAATAAAAAATTAGAAATCAAAATTATTTATATTAGGTGCTTTATATTACTATTATTTAAAAATTATATTTACTTTTACTGGCATTTACTTTAAAAAATAAATGAAATATTTCTTCAAAAAACTACATGTAAGAGAATTAGCATAAACAAAATACAAACATCGTTAACTTTTTTTTAAATTGACACGTGTAAAATTTTCATTTTAATTTTCTCACCCCATAGTTTGAGTTCGATAACCATTTATTTAACCACATTACTTAAATATAATTATTAAGTTCCAACTAATTCATAGGTATTATTAAAACATCTAAAATACAAATATGTATTTTTAAAATTAAGTTCATCTCATCTCTCTTAAAAATTGCTACTTCTCAAAATTTCCCATTAAAAAATAGACCATATACCATATAAAATGAAATAATTGAAAGATCGGACTACGGAAAACCACACAAATTAT